GTTGACAGCAAAATGGAGGGTTCAGGCTGGAGGTTGAACTTGTGCGTGGACGACGAGTCCTACAAATTCATCCGGAAGGAGGRATACCGTCTAAGCTATCGGTTTAGTACGGYAGTCATGAGGCCCTACAAACTGAAAACAACCGGCAAAGAAGGCGAGAAGATGCAGGTTGACGAGGAATCTACTCGGCCCAGCATCATGCCGGCCGAGCAGGTAGCAACTGCGATCATAGCGGAAGTCCCAGAAGAGAAGTGGGCAGCGGAAGAGGGGGTGCTACCCTCTACGCAGGAGCTCATGAAAGGACTTGAAGACCTTGCTGGCGCTGCGGGGGACGAGGCAGATGAGGACCAGCCGCTCATCGAACCGATCCTATAATGGCCGCAGGTATGGAAGTAGCCCAGGTAAACCTGCATCAGGCAGCATCAGCATCCGCTGTAATCGCGTGCAGGTTCTCGGCGGATAACCTGGGCATCCTGTTAATTCAGGAGCCATGGGTCCACAGAGGAGAAGTCCGAGGCCTCAATGTGGACAACAACAAGGTAATCAGGGATCTCTCCAGTGAGAGACCCCGAGCCTGCATAGCAATTAGAAGAAATATTGATCACTTTTGTATTTCAGAATTCCTAACACAGGACCTAGTTACGGTGTAGGTCAGAGACGAAGAGGGGAAGGACGTGTTGGCAACGGCCTATCTGCCAGGAGACACTCCAACTGCGCCCCCTGAGGTTATGCAGGGCCTGGTAGACTATTGCGGGAAGAACAACATGCCCCTGGTCCTGGGGTGCGACGCGAATGCGTACCATACTGAATGGGGAAGTACGGACTGTAATACACGAGGTGAGTCTCTCCTAGAATTTATCATTAGCAATAACTTAAGTATTGAGAATGTTGGGTGTGAGCCCACATTCGTCACTAGCAACAGGAGGGAAGTGCTGGACATTACCCTAAGCAACGGGCTCATGTCGGGGGTGGTCTCGCAGTGGAGGGTATCATCAGAACCCTCACTGTCAGACCACAGGATTCTGAGATTCGGACTAGGGGTGACGGTTATGAATATTCCCCCCAAACGTATTCCCAAGAACACAGATTGGTCTTCTTATCGGGATGCGTTAAAACAAAATCTGCTAGGGGACGGGAAGTCGGCCAGAGGTACGTCGGCCTTGAGTCTGGAGAGCAAGCTATCTGCGCTGAATCAGGCCATCACAAATGCGTACCACCGCAGCTGCCCCCTAAAGACGATCACCAAGGGACGCAAATGCTCCTGGTGGTCTAGCAAACTCTCGGTACTCAGATCTAAGG